TTTTGGTACCTGGAATTGAATCCAGGGGCACTTAACCACATCCTCAGTCCTTTTTTAATATTTTATCTAGAGACGGGGTCTCACTGAGTTGCGCAGTACCTTGCTAAATTGCTGAGGCTGGCTTTGCATTCACGATCCTCCTGCTTCAACCTCCCAAGGCCTTGGGATTACAGGCACGTGACATGCCAACGTGTCTGGCTTAATATCTTAATTTTTGATTTTTCAGTAATTTAACTAAAAGTTTTTTTTCTTTTTTTGATAAATCATTCCTTGTATATTCACAGTTATAGCAAGTCATCATTTAATTCAGACTAATAAAATGTGATGGAAATTCTGGCTTGCAAAATATTCAAAAATAAATTTTTATATAAAAAAAGAATTATTATTAGTTTACTAACTAATTATCAGTTTAATAAACAACAGATGCTTCTCAAATACCTGACAGGATTTGAAGATAGCTGGCTTTAGACTTTAGGCTTACATTTTCTTTGTAAACCATGATGGTCCTGTTTGGTAAGTTTTATAAGGTGGATGGTACAAAGAGAAATTTCATAGGATTTAATAAGGTTTTCCTGTCTAGCCTTTTCTATTTATTTCTGAAGGACCATAGACTTCTATTGATCTCAGCCTTGTTTTCACAAGGAGATGGGTTATAGGCATGTAACAGAAAATATAGGGGGCAACGTGAGTGGGAGAATAAAGAAATTCACACAGTGAGCCTAACCTCTAGAAGGCGATTTCTGATGAGGATGTGAAGGACCAGTCATGCCCTATAAGAGCTGGACCAACAGCTCTGGTGACCAGCAGCTCTGGTCTCCACCAGGTGTTACCTCCTCGGGTAAAATGATTGCAGTCTCAAGAGAGACCGTGAGCAAAGAAAACTCAGATTTGCTCCTGGATTTCTGATTCTCAGAAATCGTGTGAGAGTAAATGTTTGTTATTACATTTCCAAGTCGTGGGATAATTGGATATAAAACAATAACAACAGTCATCTCGCCTCATACACAATTTCAGCTTCTGTGATGGCAGTTATCTGAGATCAACTTGTGATCCCAAAACACTACATGGAAAATTCTAGAAGAGAAAGAGCACATTTAAATAACTTTTATCACAGTATACTGATATAATTGTTTTAGCTTATTATTAGTTATTATTGATCTCTTTCTGTGCCTAATTTATAAATTAAACTCTATGTTTGTATAAGAAAAAGAAAAAAATCTGAGCTTTCCATCATCCATTGGAAGGTCTTGGAATGTGTCCCATGTGGATAACTAGGGCCCAGTTACAGAATTTGGTACGTAGAAGTGGAGTGTTGCCCCACCCAAACACAAGTCATGAATGAGACTGAAAACACACAGAGAATTTTTAAAGGAGAGTGTTATCGAAGGCATAGAGTGCCTTGAAGAAGATACTTCCAGAATGCTGATAGTCCTTGAGAAGTAGGCTGAGGGCGTAAGAAAGTAAGATCCCATTGCAAAATGGAGGAAGGAGTCTCATGAGCATGAGAGAGTTTATGTGTTGCCTGTAGTTACAGAGACAAGGGACCTAATGCACCGGATAATCTAGCTGAGGAGATTCCAGGCCTGAGGATTATAGGTGCTTCCTGTTGCATTCTTACTGATTATGGTAAAATGTGAGGTGAGAGAAATAAACTCAAGGAAGGAAGGACTGTGAAGCCAAATGAGTCATGGCTTGATGGTTCTGAAAATTCTCAGCCTCCTGGATGGTAAACAACAGAAGAAACGAAGAAATGGCTTCTGAACAAAGATCCGATGCCAGGAAAATGTGATTCAAGGATGAAGCCAGGAGTGTCATAGTCAAATCTTTTGTTAAGACGTCAGAAATATCAAAGGCAGTGGCTCAAAACACTATTCACCTAGACAAAAGGCACGCTGAACAGATTAAGGGTGTGCCTCTTGGTTCCTGTCAATCACACAGTGAATTTCTATGAAGCTCAAGGGCATAGCCCCTCATCCTGTCAGTGGAAGCCGTGGTAGAGCAGGTCTTATTTGGAAGAGATTTGTGGTTTTGACTTTCATGTAATAAAGTGAACTCCAATAAGATTCACAGAAGACTCACAAGGATTTAAAAGTAATTATATAAACAGAAAAATCAACTGATTTGACTGAAAGTGTAAAAGGGGTTCACTTGATGCTTTGACTACATGGTTTTTTTTTTCCTCCTAAACCTTCTCTCTAAACTTCTTCCTGATCTTTTTTTTTCCTTAAACTTCTCCATAATCTCATTTTCTTTGAGCCACCTCCTTTAAAACGCCCCTGTTCCCCAGGATGAGCAGAATCACAGCCTTTGGGTCAGGAGTCCCCTGTGTTTCTCCTTTGCTAGAAAAGCAGTAGACCTTCTTTTTCCTTTTCCTCACGACCTTGTCTTCATTATTGGATTGGCGTTGAGGTGAAAGACCGAGCTTTTGGTTACAAGAGGAATAGAGCAAAATGAAGAGAAGTCTTTGGGTCCCTAAATTCTAATGACAGGAAGCAGGCTGGAGAATGTACTTAAGTTGCTGAATCCTTGGTCCTGTCCCAGGATGTCCATCCAATAACAAGGACACGGTTTTGAGAAAAAAAAGAAGGTTCATTGCTTTGCTAGCAAAGGAGAAACACAGGGGACTCCTGTCCCAGAGGCCATGATTCTGCCCCCATCAGCAGGAACAGGGGGCTTTTAAAGAGGTGATTCAAAAGCTATATTCTATGTGTTCTCTGTTGGAGTTGTAATTCACTTGTTAATTTGGGAGACAGTCAATTCTGGATTACTTCATTCCTATGGTGGGTGTGTACTTGAGGACAGATAAATCTGGGTAGGATGGGGAAGAAAGGTAATCCTCTTTCCCCTGAGATTAGGGAGGGGGAGAGATCAGGGAGGAGCAGAAACATGTCCATTTTAAAAATCAGTCCCAGTGGCAGAGCAGCAAGGGCTAAATTCAAAACATAAAGTGGGCCACTGTTACACTTAGCTGCAAAAGTGAGCTACTGTTATGAAAAAAGGTGTTGGGTTCAGAGAATGGAACCAGGAGTCCAGAGGGCAGGGTTAAGAGCCCCGGGAGTTAGTCCGAGATTTTGAGACTTCACCAAGAACGTCCAACATGGCTCTTTGGACCTATGGTCCTAGCCTCTGATTATTCACACCTTTGTCTAGTTCCCTCTGTGAGGTGCCAGGGTTGATCTGTGAGACCAAAAGCAGAAGTGATGGTGTGCATGTGTGCATTTGGAAATTAAGTATTAAAGAGTTCAGCTCTTGAGTTCCCTCTACTCTCTCTCTCATTTACCTTCACTGAATATGTTAATGTTTGCCTACTTAACATCGATCCTCTTTATGCTTTGAATGTAGCCCTTAATGCTCTGCCACTGAAACTTAATTTTAAAATGGACATGTTTCTTTCTTTTCCTCTCTCCCAGCACCTCCCTAATCTCAGGGAAAACAGGATTCCCTTTCTTCCCCATCCTAGGCAGAGTTATCTGTCCTTGAGCACACACCCACCATAAGAGGAAGTCATCCAGACTTTGGGGATGGCACCAGAAGATCTCAGAAATGACTGTCTCCCAAATTAACAAGTGAATGACAGCTCCAACCCAGAGCATGTGGAATGCAGCCTTTGAATCCCTCTTCAAAAGCCCCCCTGCACCTCTTGATGGCCAGAACACAGCCGTTGGGACAGGAGTCCCCTGTGTTTCTCTTTTGCTAGCAAAGCAATAACTATTTTTTCTTTTGAGAAAAACTGTCCTCATTAGTGGACTGGCATAGGGGACAAGGACCAAGCTTTTGGCAACACCTGTTATGCTCGAATTCAGGACCCCCCCAAAGACCACCAGAGACCGAGATCAATGTAAGCAGCAAAGAGGTGTTTATTGTGAGGTAGCTCGGTCCTCCACGCACACAGCAAATGTGACACTGAGAGGCCCTGAGCCCAGGGTTTGCAGCAGTTTTATATACTCTTTGGGGAAGGCAGGGACTTCACATACATCATAGCATCTCTTAGCAAATCATTACACACTGCGGGAAAATCATATAAAACAACTCTAAAACATGATTAGCACATTCACTGGCGGGAACAAGTTGGTTAGGGGTGATTGGTTAGTACAAGAGGGGGATTCATTTGAACCGATTGGTTTAAACCAAGAGGGGTGTTTGTGATGAACTACATGGTTTCCCAACATGTTATCAACCACCATAAACAACTGGGAGGGTCATCTGGCATTCCAGGTATTTCTCTGTCTCATGCTGATTGGTGGCTGCTAGGGGGTTGCTATGGGTCCCCACCTAGCCTGACTGAGTCAGGGACACCTGGTGCAGCAGATCTCTCCTGTTATTTGTAGATAAACCACTTAACAGGGTGGGAATGTGCCTAGGAGTGCTCTGTGGGTCTTTCCAAGGACAAAGGTCATGTCCCTTCCTTGGACAGGCTTTGCTCTGAGGTAGAGGCTGGTTTTTCAGCAGGAATACTATTATTAGTATTAGAAACAGATTTTAAACAGGATTTCTGTACATTACAGTTTACACAGGATAGCCCTAGATTTTGCTTACCGTCCTCACATAATTAAATTTTCCCTTTTACTCCTTAAATGTCCTGAAATGGATGATAAATTGTATGGTTAAAATTATTGTTTGCAACCCTAGCATGCTACATGTCCACCCATACGTCCATTGAGCATGAGCGTGTGCAAGGCATGTATGGAAGGTGGGTGGTGGGGACAGAGAGAAATCAAAAGGGACACAGAAGCCGTGCTGGTGTCCACTTTGCATTTTTCCTCCTTGTTATATTGTTTTGATCTCCCTCTACTTCCCTGGAGAAAGTCACTAAGCAAGTGAGGAAGCTGCGTACCATAGAAAGGTGGCTACTAAAGGTCGAATTCCAGGGTTCTTTGTCTCCGGGAACTACAGCCTTTGAGGGGCAGCATATCCTGGTCTTAGGAAAGTGGACTTACGTGTAGCTGTTTCAACTAAACATCAATTTTATTTCTTTTCTGTTTTTGTTTTTCTTCATGCAGGAATGGAAATTTGATGGGGAAGGACTCCACCGGCACATTCCTGTGTCATGTTTAAAGACTGATAAAACATTTCGGAAGTATGTTTCTTCATATTAGATTTAATGTGTTTTATTTTGTCTCTGTGTGTGTGTGTGTGTTGGCGGCTGTGGATTAAAGGTGCACTAGGTGCCCCAGTGTGAATCACCCTGAGGTTTTTGGGAACAGTGACCCCATTTCATCCTGTGATGTATCTGTGCCCCTTTGTCCATATGATGGTTCTGGATGAGACATTCTAGCCATGGTGGTGTAGCTTCTAAGGTCCTTGCTTAGCATCTGTTTGGCCATCTTAAATGACAGACATCATTTTAAGGAAAAAGTTTCACTTTCCCTCCCAAGGGCCTGTCTGAGAAAGGTTCCCCACTCCGTCATACCAACCCAACCAGCATTGGGACCTGCCCAGCTCTGATTTCTGAAACTCCCCCATGAAAGTCCCAGAACTCAAGCCTGTTTTGCCTCTCTCTCCTATAGAGAGATGGCCTTTACTTGTCAGCTCTGACAAATGAACTCCCCTGTGTATCTCTGCCTGGTCTCTGTCTTTCATTTCTTGCTTACCCATCTCTCGTTCCTCACTTTCCCTTCATAGCTGATCCATGTTTTCTGTATCTCTTGGAAAGGACCTAAGGCCTTGGACCAGGGTAGAAACTTGCAGGTTTGGGATATTGCAGGCACTTCTCCCTCAAGTGGTGGTAACAGGTGTGGTTCCTGGCAGTTCTTAGGTTGGATGGTCTCACCTTGAATCTTAGGCTTTACCCCCTCTACCTTGTGACCTTGCCCAAGAGGGTCAACACTCCTCAGAGTCACTCAGTAAAGCAGGAACAATAATACCTGGATTATTGTGAGGGTTGAGTGAGATAGAAACACTGTATTTGAGAGTAGCCTTGAGCATGCCACATGCTCAACAGATGTGACTCAATACTGCACATCAGTGGCTTTTGGGAGGGATTGATTTTGCCCCCAGGGGACATTTGGCAATGTCTAATGGCATGTTTGGTTGTCAGGAGTAGGAGTGGGTGGGGGAGCTAGTGGTATCTAGTGGACAGAGGCCAGGGATCCTACTAAACATCCTGTGATGCCCAGGGCAGCCCCCCACGACAAAGACGTATCTGGTTCAAAATGTCAATAGTGCTGAGGTTGAAAACCCCTGCTGCACATCTTTGCTGTTTATTCTTTGCCATTTTCTTTAACTTTTATTCCTATTAGCAGTGCAAATAAGAAATCAACCAGAGTGAGTGAGACCTGTCTCTCTGTGAGACTACTTAATGTCTGAGAGTCTGGGCCATGAAGAGAGGATCGTACATCATTTCAACACATGATGTAAAGATAGGTGACGGGTAGAACAGTATACCTCCCATGCCCAACATTGGTAATGATAGGACGTACTAAGAAAATGGCCAGGGAGGTCTACAAGCTTTTATATGTGATAGAGCTAATTACAGGCTAACTTAAAATATTGGAAATAGGAACTAACCTAAAAATCCAACAATAAGGGATCATTTAAATGAATTATGGTAGACCCTTGGAATTAAATACTAGGCAATACCTAAAAATTATGTTGTAGAAGAAAAGAATGCCTATAATATACAAAGTAGAAAATACAGGTTACAAAACAATATTTATAGCATCTGTCTCACTTTGTATTAAAAAATATGACTAGCTAACTGGGCATGAAGAACAGAAGAAATCAATATTTTTATCGGTGGTTATATCTGGACTGTAGACTAATGGAAAATTTTATAATGTACAAACATCTATGCATAGACAGACAGCCCTCTGAATTCAGTTTCCACAGTAATGGATTCAACCAACCTCAGATAGAAAATAGTTGGAAACTATCTGTACTGAACATGTACAGACTTTAAATCTTGTCATTACTCTCTAAACAATACAGTGTAACAACCATTCCCATAAAATTTATATTATGTTAGGTATTATCCATCATCTAGAGATGATTTGAAGTATATGAGGGGATGTGAGAAAGTTATATGCAAATACTGCACCATTTTATATAAGAAACTTGAGGATCCATAGATTTTGATACCCAACAGGGGTCCAGGAATCAATCCCCAGTGGATGCTGGCAGACAACCTTACTTATGTGATCATAAAATTAATAAGTGCTCGGTAAGAGGGGAAAACAAGGAGAATAATCTGCCTTAGGACCTACTGAGAATGTGACCTGCAGCCTGTTCCTGATTCCTGACTTAGAATATGATTGCTTTAAGGGAACTCACATTACTAGATTGTCTCTAGATACCTGGTATCATGTTAAAGGTGTATCTTGACCATTTAAGGTTCATTATGTCCCTTTTTAAAGAAGGTGATTTTATTTTTTGTGTTTTTTGATTTTGTATTTGTTCTTTTTTAGTTATAAACAACATTATAATGTATTTTGACATATCATACATATTATGGAGTATAACTTCCCATTTTGGGGGTTGTACATGATGTCCAGTTACACTGGTTGTGTATTCACATATAAAACATAGAAAAGTTATGTCCAACTCATTCTACTGGGAAATTAATTTCAGAAAAAACTTCAATTACAAAAAAGTAGGATTGTAACTAGGAACTGTGTTTTCTTTTTTTTTTTTTAATTTTCCTTTCAGATTATGCTTTGGAATGTAGTATCCAATTATTGACGTTAAGTTTTTAGTCTATTTCTGAATGCCTTCTAATACTTGCCAGGGGAACAAAGAAAGAAACTGAGGAAATCATCTCACTGTGGTGAAAATAAAAGGTTGGATGTTTACTAATGGAATCTGTTTACCTTCATAACTGTATAATAGGGCCATTAAAGACAATAGATACAGTAGTTTAAAAGTAATAAAATTTACAACAAAGTGTATTTAATTTGAAATTGAATTGCCAGCAAATGGGTGTCCTAATGAACCCTTGTGTCAATGTAGCTCTAATCAAATTAAGGGAAATCATTTGTATCATAGGGAACTAAATCAGCAGTGAGACCCCAAAAGGCTATTCCTCCGGTGGGGGTACAGTCATTGTCACAGATGGTCCTGGTGATGGTATTGAGCTTGAGTTAGGAGACATGAGATACAAGAGCCTTAATTCAAATGAGTTTGGGGAAGTAGGCAAATGCTGTCAGGATTTAAGGAGCTACATAAATAAATTTTTTAAAAAATACAGCGAACCATAAAGAAGAACGTGCAGTAAAGTGGGTAAATGTTAACAGGGTGAAAAGATTGGGGGGGGGGGTGACGTTGTTGAGGGTGGAAATGGATCCTGATCTCTGGTCATTGTGTTAGAAAAGTTTATGTCATATCAGCAAGTCATCTATTTAAATGGATTTTTTTTTCTCTCCAAGTTCTCTAATAACTTAAGAAGAGAGGAAGGGGTATAAAAGAAAGGGGCAAAAAACCCCCTTATCAACACTGTTGACCCTCTGTATTTACTGATTTCGTTCCCATAGCTCCAATTGTGGACTGAATGTGGTTAGGCCTGTGATGGTAGATACTAGACATGTAGGGACTTTTGTCATTTTCCCTAAAGAAATATAGTAAAATAATTATCTACATTTATTTATGTTATTTATATTGTATTAGGCATCATAAGTAACAGGAGATTCTTTAAAGAAGGATGTTGGGGAGGAGTTATGAAAACACTATGCCATTTTGTATAGGGCACTTGAACCTCTGCGGATTTTGATATCCTTGGGGGCTCTGGGAACCAGTCCCTCGCAGACACAGAGGAGGCATGACTGCATTTGATCTCCTGATAGTTTCTGAAACAAGTGGCATTTTAACTGTTGGGAGATTGGTGGCTAATATAGTGAGTCTTATATTTTATGGGGCCATACTTCAAAAGCTACTTCTTCCCTGACTTTAATCAACTGCAGTTCCTGTAACGTGGTGTTTATCTAAGTCCTAGATAACCTGCCAACCTGTCTAAGGAAGACACCCGGTTGTGCTGTGGTTCCAAAGGCCAGCCTTCTCTTTATGCCCTACAGTCAATTTCTCTCTCTTCTTCCCTCTCTCCTATCACAGCCCCAGAGCTCCACCGATCACTGCAGACTTACCCATTGGTAAAAGGGACAACGTGGCCAAGCTCGGCTCCCTCACAGAAGTAACTAATGATTCCCAGGGAGCAGCAGGATCTTGCTGGCAGGTGAGGCTCCTGGGAACTGACTTTTTTCCTGATGCAAAATGTTAAATGATGAGATCAATGGTATTGATCCACTTGCCTTTTCTCCCTTCCTCCTGTAGGACTCTTGAGGGAAAACAGTCTTAACAGGTCTTAATAAATATATCTGATGAGAATCCCATGCTAAAATAGAATGACTAAAAGTCCTCAAGACCAGCCTGAGTCCCTGCTGTCCAGGAGGCAGGGCTAGCTCTATGCAAATGAGACAAGCCTTGAGATTTGACGAATCTTCCGTCTCCCTCTCCTACTTCTCTGACACGCGCTTTGAGGAACGTTGTAAATGCAAGAGAGAGTGTGGTATAATTCCTCAGACTGGCATTTCTGCCCCCTAGTCACCATTCGATTATCTTCCAAATTGCTGTGTTTCAGAGAGATAAAGATTTTTTATGGCTTGCTGACTTGAAACAACCACTAGAGCCTGCAAAGAGATGGCTAAGCGGCCATGCATAGTAATTCCATTGGTAAATGACAAAAATCTTTGTTTGTATGACATTTCCAAAATGACTACAGAAGATGAATCTAAAACACAAATGTCACATTTGGCATGTAAAACTATCACAATGTATTTCAGTATAAAATTCATAGAGGCGTTTAATTTAGAATGTGTTTAATAACTCCGTCTGCTTGCATCGGTAATCCTGCCTTGAGGTTTAAAAAGATTGTCTTATTTATTCACATGGTGTTAATTTTTAAAATATTTTTGGAAACCCAAATATGAAGGTTAAGTCCTTGTTGTTAATTAAGGCTTTCTAATTAAACCAAAAATAATTGTTATTCCGATTAGTTTTTAAGTATGACTTGTAGGAAAAAAAAAACACAAAAGAAGTTGAACAACTTTCACCATTTGTTTAATTGTGATTCAATTCCAGCAGCATCCTCTCTATATGGAAATATATTTTATCTCAGCAAATAGTCTAGACTGGATTAAAAGACACTTCCTGTTTACTACAGATTAACTGGTGATTCTACTAACTGGAATGGCCAAGAGAGTAGCTTGCTTCCAAACCTGATGTTATTATTATTATTTTTTAAATTTTTAAATTTTTATTAAAGCACAAAAAAAACCCAGAGAATTCTTTGAGGTCAAATTATTCCAAAAATGATTTGGGACTTGTGAGTATAAAAGCATGACTTAATGACATTTGAGTGATGAATAATCCCAGTTTGATATTTATTTAATCTGAAACAAGAGTTTATTAAAAATCATTAGTTTGTATACAGTTGGGGACGTGGATTAAAAACGAAAGTGGTCTACTCTCAGCTGTGGGTGAACAATGGAAATCCAAATGTGCTGTAAAATATTAAATTGTGTGCCTCAGACCCAGGCAATCTGTGCTGACTTTTAGGGTAAAGCATATCCATGTGCCATTTCTCCTTTTCTTTCTGGACTGTTCTTGGCAGCCTAGGGGCATGTTGACCTGGTGTTGAAAGTACAGAGTACTCCATCAGGTGAGGTGTTAGTCTGCACTTTCCTTATCCCATGGCATTATGATCTGTGATTAGTGCTGCAGGCCAGGGGTGTCACCTTTCGGGTTCCCAGTTTGAAGCTTGCTGCCCAGGTTCGCCCATCCCCAATATCTGGAAGGCATGCTGTGTGGTTTTTAGAAGTGTTGGTTTCCTGTTAATTCCATCTTATTATAAGAGATGAATGGTTTCTGATGTCACAGATCATTAACATACCATGCTTAAAAACTGGCTAAACTTTCCCTCCCACCTTCAGCAATTTTGCCTTTTGACCTCTTAATTATACATCATGCATCCTCGTCTGTTATCGTTGCTAATACCTGACAATTACAGGTTGAGTAAAAATAATTGTCTACTTTTTTCCCCCCTGAGAAGCCCATTGTTGCTAATTGTGTGGTTTTACCCAGTTCCTGTGTAATTCAAGAACTCCACCTTTTATGTAGGTGCAGCAGACTCAGGCACCTCAGCCTCTTCAAATACAGATCAAATGCATCAGGGGTCTCAAGGACAAGGCTCCACAAGGCTCTTACCTCCTCAAAGTGTCCCTGCTTGGCCGACCGGGGGGCTGTGCCTTGCAGTGGTGTCCAACAGAGGAGCTGAAGACCAGAACACATGCAGTTAGGCATAATGGAAACTTCTATGATGTGAGTCTGTATTTCCACGAGAGCCTTCACGTGGTAAGCTGACCCTCTGTGCACACATGGCCCCTTCTTTTTAGTTAACCTCCTATTCTTTCTATCTATGCATGTTTCATCAGTGTCTATGTAGCTTAGATCATGAACTTCGTGTAATAAAGAGTAAACATTCTTTCCTGCACGCATGCGTTCGTTTAGCTAATGTCCAATAAGCAATCACAATGGGCAAAGCATTTTTATGGATCATCTTAGACATCTTAGATCCAATGGAAATGCCATTCTTATTGATCAAGAACATATATCATGAATTTTAAAAAATCTAGTTCTTCCCCTTTTCAGGATTTGCAAATTGAGAGCTCGCTGATGTGTACACGGTGTGTATAATATATGTGCTTATGTGAAGGCAGCTAGGGCTACTGATTATAGGTGACAACCAGGCTTTAGGTAGGAGAGACATTGGAGGGACTGTATAGAAAATAAATGATACAGCCAGGCGTGGTAGTGCGTGACTATAATCCTAGTGTCTAAAGAGGCTGAGGCAGGAGGATCTAGAGTTCAAAGCCAGCCTCAGCAAAAGTGAGGAAGCAACTCAGTGAGACCTTGTCTCTAAATAAAATACAAAATATGGCTGAGGGTGTAGCTCAGTGAGTGGTTTAGTGCCCCTGAGTTCAATGCCTGGTACTCACCCCTGCCAAAAAGAAAGAAAGGAAGGAAGGAAGGAAAGAAGGGAGGAAGGAAGGAAGGAAGGAAGGAAGGAAGGAAGGAAGGAAGGAAGAAAGAAAATAAATAATGGATGTGGGTGCATGCATTGACCAGGAAGAGGGGTTCCAGAGAATATGGTACTCGCAGAGGAAGTGATGGATGAGACTATAGAGTGATCCTGGATGCAGGGACTAGAGCAGGGGTCAGAAGGAAGGCTCAACCCTATCTGGGGGTCTGGAATGGACAGGGACCTCCCCCACAAGAGACAAGAAAGAAAGGGGACGAGACAAGTCCCAAAATTCTCATCTCATGCCAATGCATTGGATACTGGGCACAGACACAAATATAAAATTTCCTTTTATAGTATTAACTTGAATTACTAAAAATAAAATAAAGAATCAGTATAGGTATCTCAGGATGATATGGAAGAAGAAAATATTTTTTCTCAAAATTAGGAGTGTGCTTTCTTTTCCCATTATCTATTAGGTCTTTTTATTTTAAAACTAATTTTATCATATGGAATTTAATTAAGGGTGTTATATGTTTCTCATATGAATATATTCTTCTGATAGTGTATTGTATTTTTTCCTGTCTGTGGAATGACCAACTGAAATATAAATGGTAAAATGTAGCTGTAAAAATGAGCAATTTTGTAAGGTAGGTCTATAAATAATAAACATATGGTACCATTATTTACCTCCAGTATCTCAGAAGAAAACAGATTTTCAATCTTAACTTTTCACCACCTTAACTTTTTAGGTATCCAAGACCCTTGAGGACTCTGACTCTTTTTCCCCCCCTCTTCTTTTGTTTTTCTTACTAAGCAAGAACTCTATAGTGATTTGGGAAAATGGAAAAAAAAAATAGACAGTGTCAATAAAATAAATACAAAGTCCCAAATGATCACTCTGTCATTTAGAAGTTGATAGAGGTCAAAAGAAAAAAAAAAATCCAACAAAACAAATAAGTGCTAAAGATAGCCAATTGTTGGGAGTTGTGTACTAAGTGGGTTTTTAGCAAATGTCAGGGCTTAGCCCTAAGCCGTATCCATTACCAGCCTCAGTCATGACTTGGGGATCTGATAGTGATGGTGGAGGGGACGCCAGAAGCCTCTTTGAAGCAGGGACTTTAGAAAAATTCATTTCCAGGAAGAGTTTTTACCAAAGAGCCAGAAAATCCTCAGTTGGCTCATTTTTAAAATGGGTAGAACGGTGCCCCCTACCACAGGCCTCTGAGAAATGCCTGGGCCAACACTTGTGGAAATATATAGTGAGAATTCAAAATCTTCTTTTATTATTATTGTTATAATTATGCTGTCTCTTTGATAGTGAAGCCCATAAAGTTTTACCCACTGGACTATTCTTTTAATTAATATGATAAATGCTTATATTTCAGATAGCATTCAAATTAACCTTTGGTTGAGAACAATGTAGGTTAACAATTTTTTTTTTTCTTCAATAAGTGATCCCAAAGGCCTTGTTAAGAAGCATGGGGTATATATGCAGGGTGTTAGTCTAGGTTGGTTATGGAGACGACGGTTCCCTGGGGAAGCCACCGACTGCTAGAAGCAGACTTTTTTGAGGACAGGTGCAAACAGGCATCTGGGTCGTTTATCCCAAAGCTGAGGTCTTGGTTCTCACCATGTACTGAAGAAATTTCAGGAACGTGATGGTAACTGAGATCTTAGTTAGTCGTTTTTAAAAAGGATCCCATCAGCATCTAATAGAAAATTACATTCTTTTTGGTATGTTTTAATTAAGCACCCCAAATTTTAAAGCTTAGACTTAGTCTACAAAAATTGTCATTCAACAAACTTGTGGGCTGGGGTTGTGGCTCAGTGGTAGAGCACTTGCCAAGCACATGTGAGGCCCTGAGTTCAATCCTGAGCACCACATAAAAGTAATAAAATAATAAAGGTATTGTGTCCATCTACAAATATAAATAAATAAATAAGCTTGCTTTTAAGCGCCATCTTCTAAATAATCGTTTTATACGGAAAAGCCATATAAGTTGCCTTTATTATTGCTGATTGTTTTGGTGCTCATCACCCTAGGACTCCTATTAAAATGTGAACTTGGAGAGCAGGAGCCACATCTATTGATATCTTTGCTTTGTTGAGGATACTCTGTGAGCTGTTGAATGATTGGAATAGAGTGCTGTGGTCTGGATATCCATGCATTAAAGACTTGATCCCCAGAGTGGTGCTATTGAAAGGTGGTCCAACCTTGTTCAGGGGAGCCTTAAGTCACTGGGGGTATGACCTTGAAGGGGATTGTGGGACCTGGTCAACTTCTCTCTTTTTGCTTCCTGATTCATGAAGTGAATGGTTGTGCAGTGCTGGGCATTTCCACCATGCTTCATCAAGGCCCAAAGCAAAGGATATTCCCAAAGTTGGAGTGGAACCTCCAAACCATGAGCCAAAATAAACATTTGTTCTTTATAAGTTAATTACCTCTGGCATTTTGTTATGGTGATAGAAAGCTGACTAATACACAGGGCTTGCTATAAATAGAATCCCAGGAGAGACTGGAGAATAAAGAGCTCCATCAAGGACATCTTCAAGGGGAGGTGCAGAGTTCCCAGGAGACTGAGGTTGCAAAAATGTTTACAGTGTTAAAAACAGTATGTAGGGATGAACCAAATCTGGCAATTGCTTCAACAAGAAATTCATTTCTCTTTCCTGCCAAATAGAACAAAAATTGTCTTGAAACAGTTGAAATAACAACGCCCAATTTTCTTCATGTTTGTCAAAAACAAACAAACAAAAAATAATCACTTCCTGCCACAGTTAAGGAAAATTTACTCTTTAGCAGCCTGCGTAAAGGTCACCGAAACATCCATCCCTTGATATCACCTAGCAAAATTCTGGATCCCCAAAGAAATACACCACGCTATTTCACATTCAGTGTACCTAAGAAAAGCACAAAATTCAAGACAAAAATAAAAACAAGAAAAGCACCAAAACATCCAGAGTTTGACAGGAAAGAGAAGTCATCTGAGGCTTTTTGCTTTCAGAATAAAAATGCTGTTGCTCAAACTCCTGTTCATTCCACTGGGCTCTACCCAACAACATCAAGTGTTTTCACTAACCATACAATTGTGCCTGCCAGTCACTCTGCTGGCAGTTTGTGGGAGACTGACAGTTCAAACAGCAAGTTTTCAAGCAGTGTAATTTTGTAACAGTAAAAGTACACTCAGGAAAAACAAAAGTGTGCATTGTGTATATAATTAATATAGGGACATTTATGATACTTACTTCACTCCATTTAAAATGCAAGTCAAAGACAGGTCTGTTTCTGTTCTCACCTCATGGGTGCGAGACATGGTCTTCCCTAAGGTCACTGGAGAATGCAAGGCATTGTCCGAATGGTAACTGGAGAAAGATGAGGATCTACTTCTGTGCACAGTTGGAGAACCGAGGAGGCGTTACCCAAATGAACAGGCAAGTCCTAATTACAGGGAAGCGTTAAGTCTGAGGAGGTTACTTTGCTAATGGACCTGGGGATGATGAGGTTCATTGACATCATCAGGGGGGGCTTATCTTTGGCATAAGCCTGGATCAGGAGGCAAACACTTGAAGGTTAAGTGAAAGCTGACAGGTTTTTGAGAATGCTCTTGAGGGGCGCAGCAGCTCTATGGGCAAGCTCTAAGGTGAACCCCTTCTGGCCTCCACAGCGTTGCTTCTGGATACTATTGCTTGGGTCTTGTCCCCAGTGATCCCACATCTTAGCATGGATCTCCCTGTATTGAGAGACAGAGGAGATTAGATGTCATGAGCTAACTGACAAGCCTCAACACCCCCCCACCCGGCACCCCCGGGGCCTTGTGATGCAATATCCGCTCCTTTACTTCAGTTGCCAACCATAAGAATCAGATTAAATCAAATTCATTTATGGACTCTCAGCTTAGGGCTCTTTCACTTTGAATGTGTTGCTTGAAAGATTTTTTTTTTTTTTTTTTTTTGGATCTCATTGGGTACCAGATAGTAAAAGGAAATTATTGATTTTATTTGTTTAAATACACTTTGAAAGATTTTAAAGAACTCCTTGGTAGAGATGTTTGGAACCTATTGTCTTCTGACCTCCATCTTGGAAACATTTCAAATAGAAACACACTGCCTTCGGACAGTATTCATGAATGACCAATAGATTTAAATCTTTGGGAAGAAATAAACAAATGATCAAACTTTTTATTTTGTTTTTTGATGAAGTTAAATGTATAGGTTAGTTTAGTCTACCATTCTGGCAGAATTGGGGGTTAAAAGCAATATTTCACTCTCAGATTTTGTTCTGTAAACACCTGTAAATTCCTGATAAGATATGAGAAAAAGGCTTTCAGAC